CCTCTCTCCCCCTCCCTTCTGCAATTGAGCTGCACCAAGTGAGCAATCTTGGGAAGGGGGGAGGGGGGACCCTTAAAGGGCCTGTCTAGGCATCTCTAAGGAGTGTTCAAGGTATCTATACGAGTTCGGGAACTCTATGGATGACGCCACGCCCCAGGGCTAGCGTTGAGTGCACAACTAGTGCTAGAGGCTTGGCATATGGAATGGCTAGGCCCTGGAGGTTACCATAGGGAAGGATAAATACTTCTATGCCGATTGGACACTCAAGTCACCACTTGTAAGAGCCTCGTGTGTTGACTCGTGAGCATGACTCAGGTTCAACCTTGCAAGCAAGGGTTCGTTGCCCTAGACGTGCAGTCGTGGGACGACGCTGCACTATGCGGGATGGTAGTATGTTGAGAGAGCTATGTTTGGGCAATGCCATATGACCACCATGGGCATCTTATGAAAGACGCACATGACAAAGGCCAAGGATTGATGGTTGCCCTACTCGGCAAAGCACAACCATGTGCCAAGGCACAAGGCAAGTGTCAAGCTTGAGGATTGGACTGTGCACTCAAGAGCTATGCTTGATGCCGAACGAGGGACTGACATATCCGTAGCCAAACCCCGGGAGTGCGCAAGGACAAGATCCAGCCACAGGAAAATGTCAAAAGGACAAGGCTGAAGCCTTGGCATAAAACGGGCGGCACAGAAGAAGCTAAGCCTTTGAGGCAAGCTTCGACATAGGCAGAAAATCATGCTAGAAAACGTGGGATAAGAGAATGCTGGCTTGTAGTCAGGTGGGACTACGAGAGCCGTACGGGCAATTTGTGTAAACATTTTCGCACCAAAGTATTCGTCCGATACAAAATTAACATAATCACTCACAGCTTCTTTCAAATGCAAAACTAATTTCATCGAGGGAGTTGCTTCCTGATTACCAGTTAGGAAGTATATGACAAAATGGAAGGTCATCAAAGTATATGAGAACCGGAGAAGCCACATCTGAAAAATAGTTGAACAAGAAACTATGAACAAACTTAACTTTATGAAGGTAAAAAATGTTACAATAGAAATTTGATAAAGGACGATAGAACATAAAAAATAAAAAAATAAAAAAAGGAATAGAAAAAAGTAAGGTTGAGGCATTACCATATATAACAAGCCTGTTACCAGTTGTCTTAACGGTAAAAGATAAGATGACTTTGCTAATCACACTTCAATGTGGGACTCTTGCCGTCCTGTTTATTTTTACTTCAATATCACAAACTGTACAACAACAACAACGAAACTAGAGCAGGAGCACTGGGACGCACAAAGTGATGCTAGCAACTAATGAGAAGAGACCTCAGGCACAGGCACATTAGTGTGAAGAAGCCTTAATCTTCGTTTTATCCCTAAGACCAAATGATTTTGATATTTTATCCGTGATCCACCTAATAAAACAGTAAACAATGAGTTAAAAGTTAGAGCCTACAGCAGAATATATGAAATACTCCAATAAAGATGGACACATTCTTAATAGCAATACCTTTTCCAGCTGAGTTTATTAGCCACGTTTGTTTCTTGTCCTTCTTCCTTTCCTTCAATTAGCATCCAATCTTCATCATCGTCATGATCCATAACTACAGAATCCTTCCTCAAGCTGCCAGTGAAATCATCTCCTGATATTGTACCATCCATCAGTGAAGTCGACGTCGCAATATAAACTTTCTCCTTCTCAAGTAATATCTTGTTTTCTTCTAGTTTGCTTGACAAATAATTGACTGGATCATCTAATTGCAATTTATGCTCCAAATCATAGTCCATAAGTGAACAAGACTCCTGCAATATATTCTTTTCTTCAGATTTACGTGACTGGTTAGCTTCGTTTTCCTTTGATATTGAGACCAATTTCTCATCCAAACGCGCGGAGGGTCCAACACTTTGTTCATCAGCCACGTTAAACATCACATCAAGACCAAAATTGACAGTGGCGCCCTGATACTTAGTTGGTTCTAACTTATTAATACAATTCAAGAAAAGCTTCGATTTTGGGTACTCGCCTTCTACGTAACCAACCACAAACGGACACTCCTTATCAACATCGAGAAAGGCCTTCTCGTTACGAATATTTCTAGCGTCACGTATCGTAGCATCAATGATCAAGAATCCATCATCGGTCTTGTCTTTCAGTTGAACTGATGTTGGGATTTTCTGTGTCAACGTGACACAAGAGCAAAATTCACGGAGCTTGGAAAAGCTTTTATGGGTACAGAGGAAGTAAATTCCATAAGGAGTGAAGATTACAGTTGTATCGGTAAAGTCATCACCTAAGAGCCATAAAAAGAAGGAGGATGATTTTGGATTGCAGAACTTGGCCAATTTTGGTGGGGTGTGAATAACCACAACATCAGAATTTCCCCATAGTTGTTTCTTGTGTTGGATCCAATTTATGTAAAAGGCATTAAGCCTCTTCTGGAACTGCTCTGGGATCATCTTTTCTCTTTAGTAATTGGAATTGCCCGAGAGGAAGGGGTGAAGCAGGGTGGGGAGTCAAGGGCGTAGACTTGAAGTATATGAATTGACAAATGAATGTGGAGACAGAAAACAAGTTGGTACAGGTCTTTGTTTAATGCGTAGAGGAGATAGTGGATTCCTAGGAATATGGTTGGAAATTCATGGTATAGTCCATGTAGCTACTAATTTCTTAGTCCTGAAGATACAAGGAAATAGTTATAGTTTCAACTTTCCAATTGCCTTTTATCAAAATATAGGATGAGACTAATTAGGGCCAATTAGAATTGAAGTTTTTTTATTCTTTTATAATTTGAGTGATTGATAAATGATATTCTAGTATCTGCTATTTTGTTTTTACTTTAACTTCAAACACTTTTTTTTTCCTTCTACCAAATATTATCCAAACGCCTATTGTCCAAGATGACACAGTTACTGTTTCTTGCTTCAAAAAAAAAAAATTAAAATTATAATCCCTTTGTTTTTCATACTCTCTTCGAACAACAGATGTCCACAAGTGAAACGATAATAAAGCAGATAGGTAGGAAAAACAGATGCGTCAGTCCTAATGAGAAAGTTTAGTAATGTAGGATGTCTTTGCAACAACATAACTAGAAAGGGATCCATTGGTCTCAATAAGCTAGAGGAGAGTTCATGTAACGATCCGACCAGTCGTTTTGAGAGTTAGAGCCTCGATACCCTATTAACTGCATTTTTGCATATTTATTTCTACTATTTTAACTTGCCGGAAGGTTTCATTTTAGTTTTTGGAAGTGTTTGGGACACTTAGTTACCTAAACGGAGGCTTAAGTCTTAGAATTTGGATTGTAGTCAGAACTCTGTGAAGACGACTCCGGAATGGAGTTCCGTCGATTCCGTTAGTGCCGTTGGGCGTTTTGGGCTTAGGGGCGTATCCGGATTGTGTTTTGGAGGTCCATAGCTTATTTAGGATTGAAATGGCGAAAGTCGAATTTTTAGAGATTTGGACCGTTAGTGGAATTTTTGATATCGGGGTCGGAATCCGATTCCGGAACTTGAAATAGCTCCGTAATATTGATTATGACTTGTGTGCAAAATTTTGGGTCAATCGGACGTGGTTTGGTTGGTTTCGGCATCGGTTATCGAATTTGGAAGTTTCATGTTAATTAGGTTTGGATTGGAGGATGAATTGTGTTTTTTAGTGTTGTTTGATGTGATTTGAGGGAGCGACTAAGTTTTTATGGTGTTTTAGGATTGGTTGGTATGTTTAGTTAAGGTCCAGGGGGCTCGGTGTGTTTCTGATGCTCAACGGGTTGAAAAATGGACTTAGGCCATTGCTGAAGATTTTCTGGTTGTATGCGGCGAAATCAGAGGACCTAATTTCTTGCTATCAAGTCACTTCAGAAGAATGTCTCGAGGCCCCAAGGACGTGGAGTCGCGGCCGAGTTCCCTTCCTTGGGCTCGTCGAGGCCCGTCTCAAAGAAAACGAAGATCGAGGTTAGAGCAAAACGGGAAATTCCCAAGGCACGCGGCTAAGTCTGACTGAGCCGGCCTACCCGGAGCCTTTATCGAGACATCGCATCTAGCCGTCCCATCTCCATGCTTTTACAATTAATATACTTTGTACTATCATAGGATTCTCCTCCTATATAAAGGGAGTCCTCACCACTTTGTAAGGGGCTTCCGTTGCTCCAACCATTCTACACACGATCAATAATATATATCTTTTCTCTCTAACTTACTCGCTCGAGGCTATTATTTCCATCTATTACTTATATAATTGTTCTTCATTTGCTACGTGATATTGGCTATAAAGAGCCTTCTTAGATTATATCCTAATTGTTATCCTCTTCCCGGCTACCCCTGATAGCTCGAGCCCGAGCCGTATCGACTTCAAGACCTTTCATCGACCAAGTCCGAAGCCCGGGTAGCAAGCCCCTCGGTTTGATTACTACCTTATTTTAACTTGTATTTCATCATTAAACTCCATACGCCTAGCATCAACTACTCTAACAAACTAGCATAAAAATAGATCACATATTTTTAGAGTTTCATTTACAAATTTAATTGTTGTTACCATTTTTCACGGTAAACAGTTTGGCGCCTACCGTGGGGCTAAAAATAATAGTGATTATTTTCTTTCTGGTTTCATTACACAAACGAAAGTTATCTTTCACGCTTTTTCTTGTCCAAGATCTTTTGATTTCAGATTAAAATGTCTGGCTCGGTAAACAAAGGTGAGAATGACTACCTTGAAAATTACGGAGAAAATGGTGTGCCTGTTCTAGTCATTGATGCGCCACCATAGAACCCCGATAACGCACCTGGACCGATTCCAGTGGGCACGGGTTCACAAGACACGCAGTAGGTCGACGAAACCTCACACACCCACAGAAGCATACAACATGGCGACCGACAGGAAATCCAAAAAACCCCAGCTCGAGAAGTACAGGAAGTTAGTCTTCATGATATTTTTGAAATGTTGCAGGCACAACAGTTGGCTATCTCTCAGTTGCAAAGCCACCTGAAGACTCACAGCATAGTAGTACCGAAAACTACTCCCCCGGCCGAATAGGTACCGGAGAGGTCAAGTAACAACAGATCAGTAGCCGATCCTGCCATCGTGAAAATGCTGGAGGACCTCACCAAAAGGATCGAGTCAGGCGAGAAATTGATAGCAGCCAACGATAAAAAGGTCAAAGCTTATAACTTCAGAGTCGACCAAATCTCGGGCGCGCCCCTGATCCTAAAGGGTGTAGATTCGAGGAAGTTCGTGCAATGGCCATTCCCAGAGGAAGCAGCTGTGAAATCCATTCCAAAGAAGTTCAGAATGCCAGAACTCCCAAAGTACAACAGGACCTCAGATCCCAATGAACACATCACTGCCTATACATGCGCAGCGAAAGGCTATGACACACAAGATGATGAGACCAAGCCCGTCTTATTGAAGAGGCTTGGAGAAATGCCATCTAAGAGGGCCATGATGCGGCATCATAGCCTAGATCCCAACCCCATAAACTCACTTACCATACTGGTGGATTCCTTTATGAAGGCACGCACCGGTGCCATCGAAACAACGATGAGAAAGCCTGACACATCCGAGATTGAGCAAAGGGAGAATGAAATATTTATAGAATTTGCACCTCGTCCCTAGATGGAACAAATGGAACTACTCCCGATCCCAGACGACTGGGCGGTGCAGGCCTTCACTCAAAGCCTAAACAATCAAAGCCCGGTGATTTCAAGGCAGTTAAAACAAAACATGATCGGGTATCCAGCCAAGACCTGGTCGGACGCCCTCATCTGGCACCAGTCGCAAATAAGGGTCGTGGACGATCAGTCGGGAGCCCCCTCGGACTCAGTATACCCAAGAAGGCCCCTGGCAAAGAAACTGATGCCAAACAAGGAGAGACACCAGTCGTACGCTGCAGATATGAAGAATGCCTCGAGACGCAACCTACCTCGCTACGATGGGGGAATGGATCGAGGACAATATCCTCGAGGAATCGTCAATAGAGACAGATTCGATGGGGACACAAGGCCAGTGAGGGCGTCTCGCCCATCAGGATACAATTTGAGCATCGCTATATTAGACATCGTGTTCACCGTCAGCAAAATCGGGGACACCAAAGGGCCCAGGCCTGTTCAGTCGGATACCTCTCAGAGGAATCATAGCTTGGTATGTGAACTATATAATACACACGGCCATGGGGCCAAAGATGGCCACCAGCTCAGAAGGGAAAAAGCCAAGCTACTCAATAAACATCACTGCCGAGAACTGTCGAGCGATCGGGCTCAAGTTCAGTTCCGAGTAATGAAGGCGACCGAGAGGAACGAAGCGAGTGGGACGCGACATATTACCATGATAGTGGGGGAGCGACGATAATCTCCCAGAACTTATAAAAAGGAGGGTAAAAATGCCCGTCACCAAAGAAAAGCGAATCCGGGGATGTATTCCCGAGGATGCCCTCACGTTCAGCAAAGAGGACGCCGATATAGTGTCTCAGCCTCACACCAACGCCTGGTCACCCTCTTCTTCATTCAATCCATTTCAAATAAAACATGTGCTCATGAATTCAGGTGGCTCGAGCAACATCGTCGGGCCGAGGATGATAGGGCGGCTTGCACTGCCGGACCAAGTCATGCCCGCCTCTCGAATCTTTAGAGGATTCCACACGTCGATCGAGATGGCATGAAAAAAGACCATTCTCTCGGTCAACACGGCTGGCCCAGATCGGAACGCCAAGATCCGTATCATCAAAGGAGGCATAAGGCATGAATGCCTTATTCAGATGACCGCGAACGCATTGCGTGAAGGCAGCACCATCCCCCCTTCGCCAAAGGATGAAACCCTCCGCAAGGGACGGAATTAAAACCTTCAGCAGGGAGCAACACGCGGCAAGGGGAATGTTCGTGTCACATAACGTAGCGCTGGCACCAATATCTCCACTATCGAACGAGTCAAAGGGTAATCAAACCATGCTTTTGGCCAAGCCCGATTAAACACAGCGGAGGGCTGTACATAGTCCTCGCTCCAAAATGGCAGGGACATATCGGGCCTCGGAACATCACATACGCACCTCGCGATAATGTAAGATCACTTCCCTCCTTCGTTATTTTACACTAACTTGTATGCAGATACCCGGCCAGGGTATCCGGAAGTGTTAACCCTACCAAAAGATCCCAAGGCCTTAACGGCACCCGTCGCACTCTTTCCCTTCAGCCAAACTTCCAGCCCGAAGAGGGTCTCGCCAGTAAGGTTCTTAACGGAGCGACGTGCCTCTTAAAGATGATCTGACAAACTCAACAAATGCTCAAAACTTCTCTTGCAATCAACTCCGAACGTGGGAAAGTACCCCCTTGAAGACTCTATCCGCTCGGAAAGGCCAGGAAACGACAGACTAAGTTCCAGTAGGAAAGTAATGTACCGGGCCAAATGATTGAACAAACCGTGTCCGCATAAGCCAGGCTTACGGTAACACAACGACATGTATTTACGCCAAAGCAATCAGAGAATGTCTTTCTCCAAAAGCATCTCGTACTCCAAAAGAAAATTCAGCATGCTCACGGCAAGGATCCCTCCGCCAAGTACGTCCCGAAAATACATGGAGACATAGCATCAATGATTTTCAACCCACACGACCTCAGGGTCGGAACTTCGTGCTCATAAGGCTCCAACGAGGGAATTCTGAGCTCATGAG